GGGGGGGGAGCACTTCAGATTTAAGGGGGGGCACTTCAGATTAATTGGGTGGGGGGACAGTTCCATTTGATTTATTGTTGGACATATTTTGCTCCGGGGGGGCACTTGGCTTTCCCCGGGGGCAGTGCCCCCCCCCCCGGACATAAAGCTGAAAAAAAACCTGCAAGTCAAGCCAACATTGGTGGCCATCGTGGTCCAGGTATCACAGGAAGCTGCCTGTCCTCCGTCGCTATGGGGGCGGAGTTATTTAGGTGGGGGCGGAGTTATTTAGGTGGGGGCGGAGTTATTTAGCACACATCCTTTTAAGTCAGGGGATGTCAACCCGCGGACTGCGGGCCGGATGGGGCCTGCCCCCAAGTCCTATATTGCGGCCCGCAACTGTCTATTTTATCAAAATTAAATTTTTTATGAACTTAAGCTCTGTTTCAATGTTGATCTCAAGTCTAAGCTCTGTTTCAATGTTGACCTCAGGTGTTAAGCTTTGTTTCAATGTTGATCTCAAGTTTAAGCTCTGTTTCCATGCTGATCTCAAGTCTAAGCTCTGTTTAAATGTTGACCTCAATTCTTAAGCTCTGTTTCCATGTTGATCTCAAGTCTAAGCTCTGTTTCAATGTTGACCTCAAGTGTTAAGCTCTGTTTCAATTTTGATCTCAAGTCTAAGCTCTGTTTCAATGTTGACCTCAAGTCTTTAGCTCTGTTTTAATGTTGACCTCAATTCTTAAGCTCTGTTTAAATGTTGACCTCAAGTCTTAAGCTCTGTTTCAATGTTGACCTCAAGTCTTAAGCTCTGTTTCAATGTTGACCTCAAGTCTTAAGCTTTGTTTCAATGTTGACCTCAAATCTTAAGCTTTGTTTCAATGGTGACCTCAAGTCTAAGCTCTGTTTCAATGTTTATCTAACAAAATCAGAAAGAACATTTGTTTTCAAAGATGATTTCGAACAGACGTCCTTAATGCCAAGTTAAATGTTTAAAAAAAAAGGTTTTGTGACAAAAAGACACTGTTAATTGTTGGAATATATCTATAAATAAATATATTATCTCCAGGTTTTCTCTCTGAACTGCGAGGAACCGTTGGCCAATATAAATTATAAGATATTTGAGAACCAGATTACAGCCCTTGTGTCCAACGCGGGCCACGTTTGTCTTTGTGACATTTTGAAGGGTTAGTTCTTGTCACGTGATACTTGATGTGAGACTTGATGTGAGACTTGATGTGAGACTTGATGTGAGACTTGATGTAAGACTTGATGTGAGACTTGATGTGAGACTTGATGTGAGACTTGATGTGAGACTTGATGTGAGACTTGATGTGAGACTTGATGTGAGACTTGATGTGATACTTGATGTGAGACTTGATGTGAGACTTGATGTGAGACTTGATGTGAGACTTGATGTGAGACTTGATGTGAGACTTGATGTGAGACTTGATGTGAGACTTGATGTGAGACTTGATGTGAGACTTGATGTGATACTTGCACATAAAACATAGAACGAAAATCATGTAGATATTTACGAATTTTCTCAGGCAATGAGGCTTTTTTCCCCCCAGAATTACATATTGGTAATAGCTTGTCCGCAATACTGGACAGTGCGCAATGCGATTTGATGTTCGCCGGAGGCACTGAGAGTTAAGGGACGCAGAAATTAATGATTTTTAAAAAATTAAATTTAAAAAAAAAATTAATTATAAAAAGGATTTTTTTAAAATAATGACTCCATGTGCATTGTGGAGGATGGGGAAGAATTCTTCGTCCTGGATGCCAAACATTAAATTCTGACACTGATAGGTCAGTATGATAAAGAATATATATTTTCAATGACATGTCTTATTGGAATGAGAAGTAGGCTCTTTCTCCCCCGTCTAAACACATTTTAGAAACCGATTTATTTTCTCTCCCGCCCAAACACAATTTAGTATCTCTTTACATCTCATGAATGAAATAGCCAAACGAGGTATGTGGAAGCTTGAATTAGAGAATAGGACAAAAATATACTGATGTTTCGGCATAAAGCCTTCTTCAGCTAACAGTAGAATTGAAAATATCACAAAGAACAGAGCACAGTAAACTTCCGGCGACAATAATGATTATTTCTTGAGTTGTTTACTGTGCTCTGTTCTTTGTGATATTTTAATTTCTACAGTTAGATGAAAAAGCTTTATGCCGAAACGTTCGTATCTTTATGACCTGTTCTCTAATTCAAGCTTCCACATACCTTGTTTTGCTATTTAATTCATTAACTAGACTTGAATGCAGTCCTTTAATTTATATTCTTTACATCTCTCCATATACAATTTGAGTTTGGAAGTCATGTTTTTTTTTTGTTGTTGTTTTCTACTTGGTTATTCCCCTTTAACGTTTAAGAAAACAATGCACACCCAGTTCGGTTTATTGTCCAAAGGAGAAATTGCGCCCACAAGTGGCACTGTCAAAGTGTTCGGTCAAGACGTTGTTACGGACATTGCCGAGATCAAGAAGATGACAGGCGTGTGTACCCGGCTGCTGCCAGACTACTACAGTATGTTGACTGTGAAGGAGAACCTCAAAATATTCACACGCGTAAGTCATAAGGCGGTGCCTCTCTTGCATATTGTTTGGTCGTTTGGTGAACTTGGGGCAATCGTTCCTTGGGGGCACGCCGACAACGTGCCCAACTCCCCTCCGCTGTATCCGGAGGCTCGAGGTTATTAGGATATAACAGTTCACATTCTAGGAAGCACGCAGACAAAGTCTGATCGACCGGGTAAGTGTAGAGTTTCTTTCGGTCCTATCTTTCACCGAAAGAAATTCGCACACTTCGAGAAGTTTGTGTTGATCTTATAATCCTGGGATCTAGTGGCTTCGAATGGCCTACTTTTTAAATCCCTTAAATTAACTTTGCCTTTCTTCGTGTGTTTCTTTCGTTCTGTCTTTTTTTTTCATTCTTTATTCTTTCAACTTTTCAACCCCATCTCCACACCAAAAAAGTAGTTTCTCTCTTTTTTTTTTCAAGAGAAAGATGAAGGAAATAAGATGCTATGTTTTCTTAAGAACTGTAGCCATCGCTAAGTCGTACAAAACACATATAAAACAGTTATGCGAAAAAATTTGAGATTGAGATGAGTTGAGATTCCTTTCAGTACGATCAACACATGTCGTGTACTATTAAATTATGATCTGCATCAGAGCTCAGCATTTTTTCTCCGGGGCACGCCTAGACCCTACCCAGAATTCCGTGCCACGCCTCACGTGAAAAAAACACATGTTCGAGTTCAGAATACTCACGTTGAATTATGATTT